CCAACGCGGATCACCTCGGGACCTCGCGGCGCCCTGGGGGGCTGCGATCTGGGCCATTGTAGCCTGGCCTTTTTTTTTTTTTTGTTTCGTGGCCTCCTGGGATGCCACGGAGAGGTACGTCCACGCGGGTCACTTCGGGACCTCACGGCGCCCTGGGGGGCTGCCGCTCTTGCGCCATTTTTGTCGCCTCTTTCATAGCCTCCTGGAGGTCCCAGCGGAGTACGCCCAACGCGGATCACCTCGGGACCTCGCGGCGCCCTTGGGGGCTGCGGTCTGCGCCACCGTCGCCATGTTCGTGGCCTCCTGGGAGGCCCAGCGGAGGTACGTCCAACGCTGATCACCTCGGGACCTCGCGGCGCCCAGGGGGGCTGCGATTTGCGCCATTGTCGCCACTTTCGTTGGTTCCTGGGAGGCCCAGCGGAGGTACGTCCAACGCGGGTCACCTCGGGACCTCGCGGTGCCCTGGGGGGCTGCGATCTGCGCCACTGTCGCCATTTTCGTCGCCTCCTGGGAGGCCCAGCGGAGGTACGCTCAACGCGGATCACCTCGGGACCGTGCGGCGCCCAGGGGGGCTGCGATCTGCGCCATTGTCGCCACTTTCGTGGGCTCCTGGAAGGGCGAGCTGAGGTACGTCCAACGCGGATAACCTCGGGGCTTCGCGGCGCCCTGGGGGGCTGCGATCTGCGCATTTGTCGCCACTTTCGTGGCCTCCTGGGAGGCCCAGCGGAGGTACGTCCAACGCGGATCACCTCGGGACCTCGCGGCGCTTTGGGGGGTTGCGATCTGCGCCACTGTCGCCACGTTCGTGGCCTCCGGGGGGGCCCAGCGGAGGCACGTCCAACGCGGATCACCTCGGGACCTCGCGGCGCACTTGGGGGGTTGCGATCGCGCCACTTCGCCACTTTCGTGGGCTCCTGGGAGCCCAGCGGAGGTACGTCCAACGCGGATCACCCTCGGGACCTCGCGGTGCCCTGGGGTCGGCTTGCGATTCTGGCCACCGTCCCCATTTCGTTGCCTACTGGGAGGCCCAGGGCTGGTACGCCCAACGCGGATCACCTCGGGACCTCGCGGCGCCCTGGGGGGCTGCGATCTGCGCAATTGTCGCCAGTTTCGTGGGCTCCTGGGAGGCCCAGCGGAGGTGCGTCCAACGCGGATCACTTCGGGACCTCGGGTGCCTTGGGGGCTGCGATCTGCGCAACTGTCGCCACTTTCGTGGGCTCCTGGGAGGCCCAGAGGAGGTACGTCCGACGCGGATCACCTCGGGACCTCGCGGCGCCTTGGGGGGCTGCGATCTGCGCAACTGTCGCCATGTTCGTGGGCTCCTGGGAGGCCCAGCGGAGGTACGTCCAACGCGGATCACCTCGGGACCTCGCGGCGCCTTGGGGGGCTGCGACCTGCGCCACCGTCGCCGCTTTCGTGGGCTCCTGGGAGGCCCAGCGGAGGTACGTCCAACGCTGATCACCTCGGGACCTCGCGGAGCCCTGGGGGGCTGCGATCTGCGCATTTGTCGCCACTTTCGTGGGCTCCTGGGAGGCCCAGCGGAGGTACGTCCAACGCGGATCACCTCGGGACCTCGCGGCGCCCTGGGGGGCTGCGATCTGCGCCACCGTCGCCACTTTCGTGGCCTCCTGGGAGGCCCAGCGGAGGTACGTCCAACGCTGATCACCTCGGGACCTCGCGGCGCCTTGGGGGGTTGCGATCTGCGCCATTGTCGCCACTTTCGTGGCCTCCTGGGAGGCCCAGCGGGGGTACGTCCAACGCGGATCACCTCGGGACCTCGCGGCGCCCTGGGGGGCTGCGATCTGCGCCATTGTCGCCAGGCCTCTTGGGAGGCCCAGCGGAGGTACGCCCAACGCGGATCACCTCGGGGCTTCGCAGCGCCCTGGGGGCTGCGATCTGCGCCACTGTTGCCACTTTCGTGGCCTCCTGGGAGGCCCAGCGGAGGTACGCCCAACGCGGATCACCTCGGGACCTCGCGGTTCCCTTGGGGACTGCGATCTGCGCCATTGTCGCCACTTTCGTGGCCTCCTGGGAGGCCCAGCGGAGGTACGTCCAACGCGGATCACCTCGGGACCTCGCGGCGCCCTGGGGGGCTGCGATCTGCGCCACTGTCGCCACTTTCGTGGCCTCCTGGGAGGCCCAGCGGAGGTACGTCCAACGCGGATCACCTCGGGACCTCGCAGTTCCCTGGCGGGCTGCGATCTGCGCCATTGTCGCCACTTTCGTGGCCTCCTGGGAGGCCCAGCGGAGGTACGTCCAACGCGGATCACCTCGGGACCTCGCGGCGCCCTGGGGGGGTTGCGATCTGCGCCATTGTCGTCACGTTCGTGGCCTCCTGGGAGGCCCAGCGGAGGTACGCCCAACGCGGATCACCTCGGGACTTCGCGGCGCCCTCGGGGCTGCGATCTGCGCCACCGTCGCCACTTTCGTGGCATCCTGGGAGGCCCAGCGGAGGTACGTCCAACGCTGATCATTTTGGTGCCTCGCGGCGTCTTGGGGGGCTGCGATCTGCGCCATTGTCGCCATTTCCGTGGCCTCCTGGGAGGCCCAGCGGGGGTACGTCCAACGCGGATCTCCTCGGGACCTCGCGGCTCCCTGGGGGGTTGCGATCTGCTCATGTGTCGCCATGTTCGTGGCTTCCTGGGAGGCCCAGCGGAGGTACGTCCAACGCGGATCACATCGGGACCTCGCGGTGCCCTGGGGGGCTGCGATCTGCGCAATTGTCGCCACTTTCGTGGCTTCCCGGGAGGCCCACGCGGAGGTACGCCCAACGCGGATCACTTCGGGACCTCGCGGCGCCCCTTGGGGTGCTGCGATCTGCGCCACTGTCGCCACTTTCGGGGCCTCCTGGGGCCCCCTGGGAGCCAACCACCCTGGGGAGGAGGAGGAGGAGGAGGAGGAGGAGGAGGAGGAGGAGGAGGAGGAGGAGGAGGAGGAGGAAGAGGGGAAAGGAGGAGGAGGAGGAGGAGGAGGAAGGAGGAGGAGGAGGAGGAGGAGATCTGCGCAATTGTCGCCACTGTCGTGGGCTTCTGGGAGGCCCACGCGGAGGTGCGCCCAGCGCGGCTCGCCGCGAGCGTGCGTTCCCGCGGGGTGGGGGGGGGGGGGCACCCCAGTGGCAGCGAGAGGAGGCTGGGGAGGGGAGGGCGAGGGAGGGGAGCCCGAGTTTCCCGAGGCCGAGGGGCAAGGGGGGGGGGCACCCCAATGGCAGCGAGAGGAGGCTGGGGAGGGGAGGGCGAGGGAGGGGAGCGAGTATTTACCGATGCTGATGGGGCGGCTGCAAGGCGCGCTCCTCGGCAGCGGGCCCAGGGGCAGGTGGTGGGTGGACCCGCGTCCGCCGCTATGCTGTGCCCAGGAAGAGTGAGGGGGGAGGGCGAGGTGAGATAAGATGACCTCCTCCTCTTCCTCCTCCTCCTCCTCCGCCTCCTCCTTCTCCCCCTCCTCCCCCTACCCCTCCTCCTCCTCCTCCTCCTCCTCCTCCTCCTCCTCCTCCTCCCCATCCTCCTCCATGGGGGGAGGGCGAGGTGGGATGGGGGAAAGAAACATGCGATCCGCGCTCGCGCCACATCCGACGTCCTGGCTCGCCCGTCCATCCCTTCCATTTGCGCGCTGCCTGCCAACGACTGCGGTGTCCTCGAATACGTGGACCGTCTGATGGCGGCCCCGGGACTGGACCAATCCCTTGCTCTGACATCAGCGATTGGGGGCCTGTAACACGCTGGGAAGGGACGGGGTAATGGTGATGTTAAGATGGCATGATGATACTGATACTGATAATGGTACTGATCATCATGATGATGATGATGATGATGATGATGATGATGATGATGATGATGATGATGATGATGATGATGATGATGATGATGATGAGGATGATGATGAGGATGATGATGAAGATGAGGAGGAGGATGAGGATGAGGATGAGGATGAGGATGAGGATGAGGATGAGGATTGATGATGATGATGATGATGATCATGATGATGATGATGACGATGACGATGACGAGATGATGATGATGATGATGATGATGATGATGATGATGATGATGATGATGATGATGATGATGATGATGATGATGATGGTGATGGTGATGGTGATGGTGATGGTGATGGTGATGGTGATGATGATGGTGAGGAGGAGGAGGAGGAGGAGGAGGAGGCGGAGGGGGAATAACCCCACCAGCCTTCTGAACGTAGGTGGTCGTCTAACGAGATTAATGTGTTCCTCGTCCAAAACAATACCCCGCGACGTACCCGACCCTTCTGTGGTGATTACACTCAGGACCACTCAATGCTGACGGGCATGCTGAGAAACCCGCAGTGCGGAAGAAGAGCATCCAGCAGTGAAATCAGAAGAGCGCAGCAAGAAGAGCAGCCGCAACGCGTAAGCCGTACCTCTGTTGGGCCTCCCAGGAGCCCACGAAAGTGACGACAATTGCGCAGATCGCAGCCCCCCCAGGGCACCGCGAGGTCCCGAGGTGATCCGCGTTGGGCGTACCTCCGCTGGGCCTCCCAGGAGGCTATGAAAGTGGCGACAATGGCGCAGGTCGCAGCCCCCCCAGGGCACCACGAGGTCTCGAGGTGATCCGCGTTGGACGTACCTCCGCTGGGCCTCCCAGGAGCCCGCGAAAGTGGCGACAGTTGCGCAGATCGCAGCCCCCAAGGCCACCGCGAGGTCCCGAGGTGATCCGCGTTGGACGTACCTCCGCTGGGCCTCCCAGGAGCCCACGAAAGTGGCGACAGCGGCGCAGATCTCCTCCTCCTCCTCCTCCTCCTCCTCCTCCTCGTCCTCCTTCTCCTCCTCCTCCTCCTCCTCCCCCTCCCCCTCCTCCTCCTCCTCCTCCTTCTCCTCCTCTTCCTCCTCCTCCTCCTCCTCCTCCTCCTTCTCCTCCTCTTCCTCCTTCCCGTAACCATTTTGGCTCAAGATGCTTTGTTCCACAGGGGAACGCGTGGATACCGGTAGTCCGCGGCCAGTTTGCAGTCCTTCCCCTGGTCAGCCCCAGGGCGAGCGCTGAGGTGGTCCGCCCCACCTCGGCGCGTCTCTCTCATACCAGGCATGGTGCCGCAGCCGCCAGCGGTCACTGTGCTTCGAGGCCCGCGCAAGTCCCACTGGTGCTGCGGGCAATGCGGGCGCGCGGAGAACTGGGCGTGCCGCATCCTGTGCCTCTGCGGCCGCGACGCGCCCGCTGCCATCGTTTCGCGTGCTCGCCAGAAGCACAAGGAGGTTGATGCTGGCGGAGGCGGCGGCAAGAAGGCGGGCTTCAAGCAAGGAGGCTCGGCGACGCAGGGCATCCCCAAGCAGCTTGCGCGGAGTGGATGCAGGCAATCGAGAAGCGCTTGGCGCCGCCCACAAGGAGTGGCCCAAGCCTGGCGGCACAGCGCCGTGGCGCGAGGCCGCAGACGGCGCTGACCCTGATAAGAAGTCACAGAGTACCAAGCTCGGCGAGCGGATCACGGAGCTCGAGGAGTGCATCAAGAAGCTTCCACCCGCCGACGAGCGCAACAAGGATCTTCGGGGTCCGATCGAGAAGCAGTTGGAGACGCTGCGTGCGGACAAGCGTGCGCTACTGTCTCCCCAGGCCCTCCATCGGCGCACGCAGCAGGATTTGCAGCGGGCGCGGAACGGCCTGGAGAAGTTGGAGAAAGTGTTGGGTGAGAAGGATCGCCAGCTTGAGGAGCTGGCCAAGGGCACCGCGACGCGCAAGGAGACTATCGCAGCCAAGAAGTTGGAGGTGGCGGCGCTGGACGCGGCTTTCAGCGAGTCGGCCAAGAACGTCACCACCGTTGCGGCCGACATCGGCCTTGTTGAGGACGACGTGGCCGACCAGCCCGACCTCGTCGCGCTCCTCAAGTCTGAGGCATGGGTCAAGCTCAAGTCGGCGTTCGCCAGCAAGGCTGCTGCCCGTGCCGCCAGCGCTGGGACTGTTCTTCCTGCTGCTGATGCTGCTGATGAGGCTATGCCTGCCCCCACAGAGGTGCAGAAGCGGGCCCTCTATCATGCTCGGAGCGAAGGCAGCGTCGATGACTTCATGTCCGCCTTCGACACTATGTGGTCCGAGCTGGCGGCCAAGCGAGCGCGGCATGGGTAGTCCTTCGACTGCCTGGCCTGACGTTTGTGGGCTGCCTGGGCGTGGGCGGGCGCCGCCGAGCGGGGCCAGGCCGACGGTCGGCGCTGAGTTCAGCATCGAGACCTACAACGCCAGCGGCGGCAAGGCGTCCGTCAAGAAGCGCATCGCCAGCACGATGGCGAGCGTGGTGCTGCTGCGGGAGTTCGGGCACATCAGCGAGCACGTCGGGGCTTTGGCTTCACGGTGCGGTGTGCGGGGTTGGAGGCTTATGGCTTTGCCGAGCCTGCCGGCTTCTGGTTCTGTGCCGTCGGCAGGTGTTGTTGTTGCCGTGCGCGATCGTCGCGGACTTCGTCCTCCTAGCGTCGGTGCGCATGAGGTCGTCCCGAACCGAGTTCAGCATGTTCTCATCGAGATACCCGAGCTGCCTGTCGGCCTGCATGCCTTCAACGTGTGCCTGCACACTGGTGAGGGCGCCGCTGGCCGCAACGGCAGGCTGTTGCAAGAGTTGGGCCTCGCTGCTGAGGCACTGGACGGTCCAGTCGTCATTGGTGGTGATTGGAACTTGTGCCAAGGCGAGTTGGAGGCGAGCCAGTTCCCCGCTCACGTTGGTTGTTTGATTGTGAGCTCGTCTTCTGTCACGTTTCGAGGAGGTACAGGTCAGTCTGTTATCGATTTGTTCCTCCTCAACTCAGCGGCCATGAGGATGTATGCCAGTGTGGGCATTAATGTCCAGTGGGCCAAGCGAGGCCATCGGCCTGTTCATATTGTCCTCAAAGGTGATGCTGAGCACGTTAAGCGGCTGGTCTACACGGTGGCGCCAAAGATGGACACCCAGATCATCATCGGGCCGCAAGTGCAGCCGCCCACCTACACTGGCGCTCGGTGTGTTGCCGAAGCTGCTGTCCAGTCCTGTGGCGATCCTGAGTCTCCCCTTGGAGTTGGATGGGGCCTTCTCTCGGCGGCGTGGGGCCACTTCGCTGTCGCAGCCGGAGAGGCTATCGCGAACGCTGTGGGTCATCAGGATCGCAAAGTTCTGTTTGATTTCGCTCGGTACTTGCAACCCCGGTGGATCGACATCACCTATGCGGTCAAAGACGCGTCCGACCTGCAGGCTGTGGCCGAGGGTTGGCAATGGTTGCAGTCTTCCTTCCTCTGCATCATGCAGTGCAAGACGGTGGCCAACCCGTCCGTGCAGGACCTGTCGTTGGCTGCTGAGGAGATCCTCCACTTCGCGACGGCCAACTACCATGGGCAGGGTCTTGCCACGCGCCTCGATCGATCTGTTCAGCAGGCGCGCGGCGTGGTGCAGGCTGGCTTCGGGGAGGAGGCATGCCGCGAGTTCCTAGGGGACATTGAGCCTGACGTCAAGCTCGCGGTCAATGGAGCTACCCAGGAGGACCGCCAGAAGTGGAAGGAGTGGTGTGCCATAGCTGTTTCCAATGGCTCACGCGTCCTCCACCGCGCTACGAAGTACCGTGACGTTGCTCAGCCCACGGTGGTCCCAACGGCCCATGGTGTGTCGGCCCATGTGCACGATGTTGTTCGGCACGAAGCGGAGTTGTACAAGAGGTTGTGGTCCAGTTCCCGTCCAGTGCCAGCATGGATTCCTGACCGAACGGCGTTGCCGAAGGTGAATCCTGGCGAGATACGTGCAGTTGCGCGATCGTTCTCGCACAACACCACGGCAGCGCCTGATCATTTTCATCCGCGTCACTTCCTTCCCTGGGAGGATCAGGCCCTCGAGGTGGTCGCCCTGATGTTCAAGGCGATGGAGTCTTTGGGACTACCGCCGAGGCAGCTGTGCTGGTTGATCACACCGATGCCACCCAAGACGTCTGGTTCTGGCAATCGGTTGGTGGTACTCTACGCTGGGCTCTACAGGATTTGGCAGCGGACGCGGCGGCCAGTGCTTCGAGAGTTGCAGGAGCAGATTGACAGGCCGTGCTGGGGTGCTGCTCGTGGGCGGTTTTCCGTCGACTGTGCGTGGCTTCAGGCGACCGAGGGTGAGGCCGACAGCAAGCAGGCCTACCACGGCGCACTCGCAGTTGCCGACTTCAGCAAGTTCTACGAGCGCATTCCTTTGACCAATCTGCGCGACAAGTACATCAGTTTCATCGCGCCCACGGCCTTCCTGAAGTTGGTGCACAACATGTGGCGTGCGCCACGTGTGCTGGGGTTAGCTGGTCATCATGCGGAGCAGGCCCTGTGTGCCGAATGCGGCCTCCCTGCTGGAGATGTGTGTTTGTGATGTCTCGATCAAGGTATGGTTTGTGAGGGAGTATGACAGCTTCCTTGTCAGGCAGCCGTTCATTCAGTTTGTGAGCTACATTGACGACAACTCGATTCGGGTATCGTCTACCACGGTGAGCACGACTACTTCCATGATGGTCAACGCAATGCTGGATTTCAGGGAGACGGTCACTGAGCTCGACGCGATCATCAACAACAAGCTAGTGATTGTCGGCACCACCCTCTCCCTTGCGCAGGGCATCGTGTCCAGGCTCGGCCTACCTGCCTCTGTTGCGAGGCGCAGCGCGGTCTATGTCGGCGTCGACGTCAGCGAGGGCAGCAGGAGGGCCGACCAGGGCGTGCTCACCAAGCGCGCCAAGCGCAAGGTGCATATGCTGAGGCGCACGCGGAAGATCAGGCGCTTCGGCAAGGCCATCACTGGCCACAGGGCGCAGTCTATCGGCCGCGCCATCCGCGCTGGCGCCTTGCCCGAGGCCACCTACGGCAGTGAGGTCGTCGGGCTCAGCAACTCGGAGTGGCTGAGGTGCAGGCGTGATGTCGCTCGAGGCCAACTTCCTCTGCATTGTGGTGTGAGCCTTCCGAGCAAGACTGTCTTGCTCGGTGATGGCGCCGCTGCATCCGCCATTGCGCCTGCCATCCACTGGTGCAGACTGTTGTGGCAATCGGAGGTCTGCAGACACCCGCTCGCTGCGCGTGCTCGTTTGTTGAGGCTATGGCGTGAAGCCAAGCCTTCTCAGGTCACCGACTGGGCATCTAGTCGTGGCCCCTTGTCTCGAGCTGCGCTAGCTGCGCAGCGTGCGGGCTGGCGAGTCTTGTCTGCGATAAGCTGGGTGGGCCATCGAGGTGCGACAATCGACGTTAGCAGAGCGCCTCCGGGCATGCGTTCAACTCTCATGTTTGCTGGCATTCAGCGTCAGCACGAGAGGGCTTTGGCCGTGCAGCTGGGAGTTCCGGCAGGCTACAGGGCCTCGCTTGACTTCGTTCGGTCGTCGGTCGGCGGTCGGTCTCGACGGCTCTCTAGTCTGCAGAAGTTGCTTGTTGGGAGCTGCTCATGCCGCGAGTCTGGACCAAGGCCCGCGCCCAGGCTGCTGGCTACATTTGCGATGGCCTTTGTGCGTGCGGCCAGAGACAGACAATCAAGCAATGTTTGTATGAATGCATGCTGCCTGCCGTCGTCGCCGCCCGCACTGAGGCTAAAGTCAGCCCGCTATTCATCAGTGCAGGTATCGAGTCTGACGATCCCATCTTTGTGCAAGGAGTTTTCCTGTATGACGAGGGGGAGATTCCTCCCCCTTTCTGCTCGGATAAAGTGGTCCTCGAGGGCCATGAGGGGGAGGAGTTGGCGGTTGAGGTTGAGGGGGTGGCGTCTCTCGTTCAGGGCCCTCGATTGGACGTAGCCCCCGACGGCTCCTGCACACGGCCAGGCTTAGTGGAGCTTGAGCGCGCGTCGTGGGCAATTGCAGTGCTGTCTCCTGGGTCTAATGTACCCGTGGCAGTAATTCGAGGCCCTGTTGCTGGCAACCTCCCGCAAACGCCGAGCATCGCCGAACGTGTTGCGCTTTGTTTGATTGGCCAGATCGCCGACCGCGAGACCCTGGCTGGCAGCGACTGTATTACACCCTGCGATTCGGCGATCCCAGCAGCCTGTTCAATCTCAGCTGCGCGCGTCCAACCAGGCAGCTGGCATTATGAAGTTCGGTCGTGGCCTGGAAGGCCACCACTTCATCTCGGTTCGGCACGCCAGGGCTCATCGGTCCCAGGAGCAGATTGACAGTCTGTCGGGCGAGGAGCGCCACTGGGCCGAAGCGAACCGTTTTGCCGATCACCATGCTAAACTTGCCGCCAGTTTACACCCTGCTCCATCGCCAGAGTTTTTGGCCAAGCTTGATCTCGCGAGGAGTCGGGCTGCCGATTTTGTGGCGTTGGCTGCTGCCGTCCTCCCGTGCTTTCTCGAGGAGAGGCCGCAGCGGTGGCGGAGAACCACAGCACTGCGCCGACAGAGGAACTCTCGGGGGGAGGGGTGGCACGCTTGGGGTCTGGGGGAGCTCGGCTGGCAGTGCGAAGTCTGTTTCAAAGTTGCGCCATCGTGTCGTAACTTGCCGTTGAATGGTTGTATTGGGACCCCGTCGTTTTTGAAGCCTCTCACGGTTGACTCGATGGGACATCAGCTCGTCGCCGTCAGTGGCTCTCGTCTTGCTCCGTTGCGTGCTGTGCGGTGCCGTGCCGAGGAAGAGAGCACTGAGGCTCGACGGGGATCCCTGTTGTGTCTGAAGTGTGGAGGTTGGAGCCAGGAAAAGGCCATTAAGTTGAGCAAGCCCTGTGCCCCCTCCACCTGCACTGGTAAAATGATTTTGTCGCGTTTTCGGAGAGGGCTTGTCCCGAATCCCCGAATTCGTGCATTGATCGACCGAGCGATTCCTGCCCCACGTGTCGGCCTCACAGTGGCTAGTGCGAGGGATGTCAGAGCGACGACTTCAGTTGTTGAGTACTCGGTCGACAGTGCCATCTCGTATGAAGCTCGAACGGCTCGCTTGATGAAGCGAGTTCGAGCCCGCGAGAATAGTCGCCAGGTTTGAGGTTTCGCAGCGGGTACACCTGTCGCGAGCGCCGTGCGTGGCTTTGTCACCACGCTCGGCCTCACAAAATCTCCCCCTGATGGGGCACCCGCCCAACAAGTTTTGCGGGCTGGACCCTCTCTCAGAGGACTGTCCTCCTGGGAGTCGCCCCATCATCTCCTCCTCCTCCTCCTCCTCCTCCTCCTCCTCCTCCTCCTCCTCCTCCTCCTCCTCCTCCCCAGGGTGGTTGGCTGGAGGGGCGCCCGCCCCGTCTCCCTGCATTTTTGCGCTGCTCGCGCCCGAGCGGGCGGCCGCGCGCGCCGGGGCCCCCGCGATCGCCGCGGCGCGGCGGGAGCGCCCCAGTCGACTACACGTAAGAGTGACCTTTCCCAGACGTCGGGCGTCTCGAAAAAATCGAGACGGAGGTTTCTCATAATTAGTTTTCGGCCTCTCGGGGCCCTCGCCGGGCTTCGGGACCGTTAAAAAACGACTCGGGATGAAAAACCGGTCCCGGGGAAGTGGTCGGGAGGTCGGGGGCCCGAGTTTCGAAAAAATCGAGACGTCGGATGTCTGGGTTCGCCGGAGTAACCTTTGGTGCGAGTCCAATGGGGTCCCCCGATCACCGATTGCGATGCGACCGTTGCGCCTCGCGCGCTCGTTTTGGGTCCCCCCCCGCGGCCCCCCAAAGAGCCGCGCACCAGAGGTCACTCTTGCCCAGGGTCACTCCCCAGACATCCGACGTCTCGATTTTTTCAAAACTCGGGCCCCCGACCTCCCGACCACTTCCCCGGGACCGGTTTTTCATCCCGAGCCGTTTTTTAACGGTCCCGAGGCCCGGCGAGGGCCCCGAGAGGCCGAAGACTACGAAAACCTCCGTCTCGATTTTTTCGAGACGCCCGACGTCTGGGTCTGGCGTGCAGGCGACCCCGGGCGGGCGCCGAGGGGGCCTCGTCTGGCTGCCACTCTGCCCGCCGAGCGGGGGGCGGCGCGGGGCCGCCGCGCGCCAGGGCGGACGGCAGACGAGAGGAGGCGGGGGCGCCGGAGAGCGCAGCCGGCACGCCGCGCGCGCGGCAGCGGCGGGGGGCGCGCCGCCGCGGGGCGGGTGGAGGAGCACGAGGAGGAGGGGCACGGGTAGGGGGGGGGGAGGAGGGGGAGGAGGGGGGGGAGGGGAGGGGGGGGGGAGGAGGGGGGGGAGGAGGGGAGGAGGAGGAGAGGAGGAGGAGGAGGAGGAGGAGGAGGAGGAGGAGGAGGAGGAGGAGGGGAGGATAATCATGCCTTGCGGGCGGAGGAGAGGAGGAGGAGGAGGAGGAGGAGGAGGAGGAGGAGGAGGAGGTCATGGGCATGAGGAGGGAGACTGACATTAGGAGGATCATACTTCGAAATAAGAAGAATAAGAAGAAAAGCCAGGAGAAGAACGAGGAGGAGGAGGAGGACCCAACCAGTGGACATACCTACGACCAACCAGCACCCAGCCAGCACATCGACTCCAACAACACAGGCCAGTACTGACAACATGGCCCATCCGCAGCCCAATACACCCACCACCACCGCAGTTGAGGATAACAGAGATATCCCACCACCAAAAGCTGCGCCTGCACAAAGGTGGCTCATCGA